CCTATTCATGCTCTGCCTCTCAATCTCTCTCTCTTAAAAATAAATAAACATTAAAAATATTAAAAAATAAATAAAAAAATAAGCAACAGGGGCGCCTGGGTGGCGCAGTCGGTTAAGCGTCCGACTTCAGCCAGGTCACGATCTCGCGGTCCGTGAGTTCGAGCCCCGCGTCAGGCTCTGGGCTGATGGCTCAGAGCCTGGAGCCTGTTTCCAATTCTGTGTCTCCCTCTCTCTCTGCCCCTCCCCCGTTCATGCTCTGTCTCTCTCTATCCCAAAAATAAATAAAAACGTTGAAAAAAAAAAATAAATAAGCAACAGATCTGAACAGACATCTCACAAAAGAAGATATACAGATGGCAAATAAGCATATAAAGAGATGTACAACATCATATGTCACTAGGGAACTGCAATTAAAGCAACAATGAGTACCATTACATACCAATTAGAAAGGCTAAAATCCAAACCCTAACAATATCAAATGCTGGTAAGGATGTGGAGCAACATCAACTCTCATTCTTTGTTGATAGGAATGCTGAATGGTGTGGGTACTTTGGAAGATAGTTTCTTGTAAAAGTAAACATATTCTTACCATATGATCCAGCAATCACACTTCTTGGTATTTATCTAATGAATTGAAAACTTATGTCCACACAAAAACCTGTACATGAATGTTTCTAACAGCTTTATTCATAACTGCCAAAATTTGGAAGCAATTAAGATGTCTTTCAGTAGGTGAATGGACAAACTGTAGAAAATTCATACAGTAAAATATTGTTCAATATTAAAACGATATGCACTGTCAAGCCATGAAAACATGTGAGGGAAACTTACATGAGGGAAACTTACGTGTATGACTAAGTGAAAGAATCCAATATGAAAAGGCTACATACTATATATGACTCCAATTATATGACATTACAGAAAAGTTAAAACCATTGAGACAATTAAAAAAAAAAAAAAATCAGTGGTTGCCAGGGGTTTGAGGTGAGGCAGGGACAAATAGGTGTAATGTAGGGGATTTTTAGGGTAGTAAAACTATTTTCTATGAAACTATGAATGGTGGCTACATGTCCTTATACATTTGTCAAAACCTTTGGAATGTACAACACCAAGAGTGAACCCTAATTATCTGGGTGATAATTATGGGTCAATGTTTGTTCATCTATTGAATCAAAGATATCACACAAGTGAAGAATGCTGATCTTCAGGAAGCTGGGGAGGGAGTGAATTTGGTAGTATGTAGGAACTCTGTACTTTCTGCTCAGTTTTGTTAAACCTAAAACTTCTCTTAAAAAGGAAGTATAATAATAATAATAATCAAAGAAATCACAAAATAATTAGAAAATATCTTGAACATACTTACATTAAAAATAAAGAAAATCTAAAATCAATAAGCTAAATTCTAACTTAAGAAGCTAGAAAAAGAGCAAATCAAACCCAAAATAAATAGAAAGAGATAATAAAAATCCAAGCAGAAGCAATAAAAAAGAAAAACAGCAGAGAAGAATGAAATTAATGTTTCTTGGAAGAGATCAATAAAACTGACAAGCCTTTAGGTAGATTAGGAATCAGCAAACTCATTCTGTAAATGGCTTGATAATAACCATTTTAGCCTTTGAGAACTACTCAACTCTACTGTTATATAGTGATAGCAGCAACAGACAATAAATTAACGAATGGTTGGCTATATCTCAATTTATAAAAACTGTTGGTGGGCTGGATTTGACCTGAAGACTGTAGCTGGGCAATTTCTGGGCTATAATGACCAATAAAAAAAACAGAAGACACAAATAAGAAAATAAAAAGAGATCCTACAGAAAGGAAAAATATTAAAGGAATATGAGCAACTTTATGCCAAATTAGACAACATAGATGGAATGGAAAAATTCCTAGTCCATCACAAATTATCAAACAGATTCAAGAATAAGCAGAAAATCCAAAGAACCCTATATTAAGAAAATTGACTTAGAAATTAAAAGCCATCCTGCCAAGAAGGAATCTAGATCCAAACAGCTTCACTGATGAATTCTATCAAACATGTTAGGAAGGAACAAATAGTGTCTGTCCTAAACAATACTGTGTCAGAAAATAGAGGAGGTGGAAATATTTCAAAACTTATTTTATGAGACCAGTGTTCTCCTGATGTCAAAGCAAGACAAGACATAGGAAAAAGATGTAATAGAACACTATCCCTCATGAACATGCACACAAAAATACTTAACATATTAGCACAATGAATTCAGTAACCCCTAAGATGTATTATATAACACAACCAAGTGGAGTTTATTCCAGGAATGCAAGGTTAGTTTGACATCTGAACATAAATTAATATAATACATCATATAAATAGAATAAAGAACAAATACCATATGAGCAACTTAATAGATGCAAAAAAGCATTTGGCAAAAATCCCAAATCAATTCTTGACTAAAAAAAAAAAAACCCTCGGGGCGCCTGGGTGGCGCAGTCGGTTAAGCATCCGACTTCAGCCAGGTCACGATCTCGCGGTCCGTGAGTTCGAGCCCCGCGTCAGGCTCTGGGCTGATGGCTCGGAGCCTGGAGCCTGTTTCCGATTCTGTGTCTCCCTCTCTCTCTGCCCCTCCCCCGTTCATGCTCTGTCTCTCTCTGTCCCAAAAATAAATAAACGTTGAAAAAAAAAATTAAAAAAAAAAAACCCTCAAAAACTAGAAATGTAAAGGAATTTACTTATTCTTATAAAGGAAATCAATGAAAAACTTATAGCTAACATCATACTTAATGTTAAAATAAGTATGAATTCTTTCCCAAATAGAAAGTCCAGAAAAGGCAAGGATATTCAGTCTTACTTACATTCAACATCACCCTGGATAATAAAGCAAGAAAATGTAAGTGTAATAAAGCAAGAAAAATGAAGGCCCAAAGACTGGAAAAGAAGTAAAACTATCTCTATTTACAGATGATATAATCTTATATGTAAAAAATCCTTGGGAATCTAAAAAGCAAGCAAGCAAACAAACAAAACACCCTATTAGAACTAATGAGTTTAGTGAGATCACAAGATACAAAACCTGTATACAAAAAAATCTGTTTTATTTCTATATACTAGCAATGAACCATCTGCAAATGAAAGTAAGAAAGCAACTCATGTGCAGTATTATCAAAACAGATAAAATACTTAGGAATGAATTGTAAACAAGAAGTATAAGACCTATACATTGAAGACTAGAAAACACTGCTGAGTAATTAGGAAGATCTAATAAAATGGAGAGATATACCATGTTCACAGTTTGAATGATTTAATATTATTAACACAGCAATTCTCTCCAAATTGGTTTAATGCAACTTCTCTTAAAAATTTGGGGTGCCTGGCTGGCTTAGTCAGTAGAGCACATGGCTTTTAATCTCAGAGTTGTGAGTTTGAGCCCCACGTTGGGTGTGGAGCCTACTTAAAAAAAAAAAAAAATTCAAGCAAGTACTTTTATAAAAAATGATAATTCATTCTAAGCTTTATCTACAAATGCAAAGGACACAGTATAACCAAAAATATTAAAAAAAACATAAAAGATGAAAGACATTACCTGATTTTATTTCATCTTACTTTATTTTATTTTGTTTTGTTTCAAGTTTTAATTTAAATTCCAGTTAGTTAACATATAGTGTAATATTAGTTTCAGGAGTAGAAGTTAGTGATTCATCACTTACATATAATAAACACCCAGCGCTCATTACAAGTGTCCTCCTTAACACCCATCTCCCATTTAACCCATCCCCCCGCCAACCTCCTCTCTGGCAACCCTCAGTATGTTCTCTATAGTTAAGAGTCTGTTTTATGGTTTCCTTTCTCTTTTCTTTCTCTAAAAGATTTCAGAACAAAGCGTCTTCCCCAACTCAAACGAAGCCAGGCTGAGTGTTCTCTCCAGCTCCAACTCCTCTACCCTCAGCTGCTTCAACTACACACCTATCTAACAAGCATACAATCTGGAAATATTTATTTAATATTAATAAAGGATTTCAAAACTAGAAGAGGCCTTAAAGATCATTTCTGTTGGTCATCTTATAGACTAGTTATTTTAAAACTAAAAAGTAAATGATAAAGCCATAGCTATCAACCTGATCTTATCAAAAAGAAACACATTTCTCACTGTAAATCAACTTGAAAATAGAAAAATTTTTCAGCTCAACCTCTGCAAATAAACATTAAATTGATTCCCAGGAGACTTTCTCAATTTATGGATTGTCGCTATCTGTCAATCTACCAAAGATCTGTTCTTAAGGTAAGGCAGAAGTAAGGGTGAATACTTTGCAGATTTAAAGCTAATTTCATATACTGTAAAAACAGCTTGTCAACAGGCTTCTTAGGACTTCGAGACCACATTTCCACAGTAAATATTATATGTGATACAATTTCAACTATATTTGATTACTACATAGATGATTTATATATAGGCTTATGCTGAAAATTAGATCTCAAGTCTAGCCCAGAACCTTATACAACATGCCCATGTATGTGATCTTGCTCAACCTGTCCAAAATGGGATACTTTCTTGTTCATTTTCTCCTCAGTTGTTCTCAACATTTTGACTGGGGATAATGGGAAGAGAAAAAAACTTGCATACTGTGTGAAAGGGGAAGTAAGAGGCATAATAAGTTAAATATTTAGTCAGAAAATATTTATTTCCTTATAAATAAGAAGGGGTATCTCCACCCCTTCCATTATTTGAAAATTCTCTTAGATTAATAAACTCTGCTTTCAAAAAGCAAATAGTGTCTTCAAGCCCCACCAGTAGAAGTATGAGGTAAACCTTTCATAATTTGAAGGATTTTGCTAATTATTCATCACTTAGTAAACATTTTTTAAAAATGTAAAACTCATACTAAGCAAAAGAACTAGAAGTTTAGCTTTTATAAGGCATCCCAGTACCATATTTCTTAAAAGCTGCATAGAAAGATAAACAACAAAAATTTCACTGACATACCTTACTGTATCACACACCTATTCATCAAAACCTTAACTTTCTAACCTGGAATGTCGGAGGCTGTCCTTTTTGTTTTTTGCAGAGCACAATGTGCATTCACAGCCAACTGCATGGGGCTTGGGTAGAGATACATCCTGTTTTAACAGCATTGTAAGAATTTCATAGTTGTTACGATGAGCAGCTAAAATGACAGGTGCAACATCCATAGTTGTTGAATACTCAGGATTTTGAATTCGCTCCATTAGTTTCTGAAAAATATTTATATAAATGTCCAAAATTATTATTTATGACTGCAAAACAACACATTTATCTGAAAATGAAATGAAAAAATCAGAATGCACAAAGAACGTAAGAATTATATTAAGAAATATGATAACATTTTACCAGGACTAAATTTTTTTTGAAACCTGAAAACTCAATTTTAATTAATAAATACAATAAATCATGACAGTCAAAAATCTTCAATAGGATACATTCATACATCTAGAGTTCTATTTTTGTAACAAAGAAGTGAAGATACCTAGAGAAATACTTTAGAAAAAAGTGTTTAATTTTCACAAGATTATGGAAACATGCATGACAATGATAACAAGAATCTTAGAAAAAGAATATAAAGGAAAAACAGAAATGTTAAAAATAGGCAGAGTATAAATGCATGAGAAAAATTTTAAAAATTCCACCTCTATGGCAAATCTTGCCACACTGATAGCAGTGAAGCTGCCTGAAAGGGATAAGTAAATAGGAAGCACTCTTCATTTTGTAGAATTCTCTACATATTCCCAATCAATACCTATACTACTTCCTGTTACAAAGGCACGAAAACACTAACAATCCTAACTACTATTAATGAGTCACTCCTGAAACTGTTAGGCACTTTACATTTATCACCTCATTTCATCCCCATATTAGCCTGCAAAATTGAGCATTATAATCCCCATGAAGAAACTGAGGCTCAGAGAAGTTAATGTGCCCAAGCTATGCAACAGAGTGGCAAAATGCAGATCAGAACTCAGGTCTGTATTACACTGGAGCCTTCTTTTATGAATAGTTTCTTTCTGCTTTCACTACATGGGCTCATGGGCCTGGTGACGGCATGACATGAAAAAAGAAACTATGTAAATAAAGAATCAGGGTTAAATAAAATGGTTGATTATTTTATGACTATTGCATACTCTTCCCAATACTTCTCACTTTTTCACACACATTTCCAGGAGATATGTTTGATTCCATTGCATAAGCTTATCAAGTTCACAGAATTTTTTTGGTAATTTTTATTAATATCATAAAAGTAATACATACACATTATAAAATATCCGAACAATATAGAAAAGCAGAAAGAATAAAAATTCCCGTATTCCTCCAAAGCAACAAACATTTTATAGTATCTCCTTCTAGACCTCTATTATACCTCCTTTTAGGGACATCTTTGATATAAGTGATTTGGCATCAATGATTAAAAACAATGGTCCTTGGGGCACCTGGAGTGCTCAGTCTGTTGAGCATCTGACTTCGGCTCAGGTCATGATCTCACGGTTCGGTTGGTGAGTTCGAGCCCTGCATTGGGCTCTGTGCTGACAGCTTGGAGCCTGGACCGTGTTTCTGCATTCTGTGTCTCCCTCTCTCTGCCCCTCCCCTGTTCACTGTCTCTCTCTCTCTCTCAAAAATAAAAAATAAAACATTAAACAAAACAAAACAAAACAATGGTCCTTAATATTTTGAACTCCAAGGACCCTTCTAATAATCTCATAAAGCTACAGCCCAGGGGCTCCATGATGATTCAGCCAGTTGTTTGACTATTGGTTTCCACTCAGGTCATAATCTCACGGTTCATGGGGTTGAGACCTGCATCAGGCTCCATGCTGACAGCATGGACCCTGCTTGGGATTCTCTCTCTCCCTTTCTCTCTGTCCCTCCCCCATCTGAACTCTCTCTCTCTCTCTCTCACCCTCTGTTAAAAAAAAAGGGGGGGGGCAAAAAAAAGCTACAGCCCAGAATTTCTGGGAAATAAAATTCATGTATTTAGAATTTAGTATGCAATTTAAGAAAATTCATAGATCTATGCTCAAGATATTTTATTTTCTTTATTTAAACAACCTACCACAAACATCTTTATGAATACAGCTTTTTTGAAATTTAGGATAAAGTCATTAACCACAGAACCCCTGAAGTCGAATAATAGGTCTAAAGGCCATGAACAGTTTTGAAGCTTTTGATATATATTACCAAAATTCTTTTCATATTTTACACTGCCAATAATATAGGAATGTACCCATTTCACACTTTAGCTAGGCAGCACTAGGCATGGTCATTCCCAATTTATAACACAAAAAAAAAAAAAAAATACCATGAAATATTAATTTACTTTACTAGTTAAATTTTACTATTTTTTGACATACTTAAGCTGTTTTCCTCTTCTTTTATGAATAGTTTCTTTATGTACTTCCCATTTATTTATTGGGGACTTTAAATTAATGAATTTATTTAAAAATAAGAAAGAAGTCTAAAAATTTAGCCCTTTCTCTCCTTATTACTGGTTATAGAGAAGAAAATTATATTTATTCTCTTAAAAGAAAAATGTCCTCAGTTTTCCTATAAAATATACTTAACATGAAAAACATTATTAGAAGATTAAAATTCATAATTTAATTGCTCATTATATAATCTACATACTACCAAAAAAAACACCCCACCTGGATTAGAAAGTCAAAATTTATCAATAGACAATTTTGATAAGCCAAGAATACAGAATGAATTCAATGAAATGATAAAAAAAAAAAAAAGTGTATAAAAATATTTGACACTGCCTGTCAAAAAGTATTAGGGCTGTTAAAATGTGATCCTGCCCTCATTGGAAGTACTCAAGCAAAGGCTGGATAAGCCTTTTGGTTACAGATGAAGTACAAAGTGTTTTTCACTGAGTACAACTCAAGATTCGACTGACAGTGGTAATGGTGATAAAAGAATGCCAGTCAGCTGCTCCAGTACCCTGGCAGGTTACACTCCTACTCCCTGCCAAAAAAGTAAAGGGGTTAAAAGGCTAGAAAGTGGAATAAGTATACCAAATATATAATCATGACTGCAAGACAGGTGACAGAAAATTGAATAGGAGTCCAGATATTTCTGACCCTTTGGACAGGGGCTGTATTCTTGGCCTTTTTTTTCTCTGCTCCTGTTGGTCTCTCGCCACAACTTAAACTAGTTGGTACACTCCTCTGGAGAAAGTCATGCTTACACAAGCTTTGTAATATCTAAATGAAAGTAAAATATTTCAGTTAATATGTGATAAAGTATGCAATTTAGCAGAGTTTCTCATTGTTCTCAGATAATGGCAGATAATCTGTAACCAAGTTATAATTCTTTTGTAAAACAATATTTTTCTGAGTATAGCCAGTTTACACAACCAGCAATTATTTAAACTGCTTGTCTTACTACCTCCTCACCAATAATGAAGGTTGTAATTGCTAAATTTTGATATATAACAAATATATCATTTTTAAAGTAGAATTTGATTAGTGGCTATCTTCCTAATTATAAAAGCAATAAAGAAAAAAGGAGTAACACAAAAAATACCCTTAATTTAGCAATGAGATGACTGCTGTGAGGTAACATTTTGCTACATTTCATAGTTCCTTGTCTGTGCATGTTTTTAACTTTGGACTATATATTGTATGTCCAGTTTACTATTCTCATTTTTTGACTTCTTATTTGATATTTGTTCAGGTTTGTATATATTCTTTGAAAAATACCATTTTAATATATATGTAATTATTACTATTTCCCATCTTTTATTTGGGGGTGTTTAAATTGTGTCATATGGTTTTTTCATTGCTACAAATAAGATCACAATTAACATTTTTGTCCACATTTCTGACCAGCTTCTAGAGGAGGAAGCACTAAAAAATATGAGCATCTTTCTTGTTTATGACACATTCTGCCAAAATGCTTCCCAAAATACCCTCCCTACCAATTGTGTGTGAGACTGTACTACTCCCTTGCAATCAATGATCATTATTTTTAAAAATGTTTGCTAATTTGACAAGCAAAAATTAGCATTTCATGTGTTATTAGTAGTAACTTTTAATCTTTTTCTGAGATGTTTTTCATGTCCTTTTCTCATCTTGATATTTTTCATCAATTTGTCAATTATTAAGATTAATTTGTGATATATAGGAAATATATTTTCCAATTATCCATCTGCTTCCTAAATTTTTTCAATGTCTGAATTTCAGAAATCTAACTTCTATACAGCCAATGGTTGTGCCATTGCTTTTTATGATTTTTGTCCTTTGCTTTTAAGTTTACAAAGTCTTTCCACTCCTAATCACTTAAATATTCACCTACATTTTCTTCCAGTTTTATGGTTTCACTGTATATATTTAATTCGTAAATCCATTTGGAAACTAACCTGAATTTTCAACTTAATCTATAGAATGTTCAAAACTAAAAATACTGATCCACACTGACAAAGTTATGGAAATATCACTAATTTTAAAAAGGTTTCCTGAAAGCAATATTAATTATTCTCCAAAGTGTCTACTTACTTTAAGGCAATACCTTACAGTAAAAAAAACTATTTCTTTAGAACAAAATAAATTTGGGGGAAGAAAAAAATGGCAATGGGGCAGATCTATTTTGGTTTAAAAATCCAAATTAATAAATATTTAAGAGTACTAACTACTATAGTTGGTCTTGATGATCGTTTTGGTCGATGATTAAGTAGTATATCAACAGCTCCCACTACTTCAGAGTCGATTGCCACCAAAAGTGCATCTGCGGACTTCAAAAAAAAAAAAAAGGTTAAAAATGAAAATGGAGGATAAAAAGGTAAACTATTTATTTTTACTAATTCCTAAATAAAACTCTTTAAACTGTATTATATACAGTAATATTAAATATTTAAAAATTTAGACTATCCAAATAAATAGTACATTTGCTGGCCTTAGCAGTACTTTTGTGTACCACAACACACACAAATTTCTGTCCTGGTTTCATTGCATAAACCGGTGAAATAATAAATGCTTGAAGAGAAGGGTTTATTAATGGATCCATGCCATATTTAAAGTTGAAAATTTTTTTCAAGATCTTTACTTTTGAACTTTGAACCAAAAGAATCTTAACATTCCAGATGTATTAAAGAAATTGCCAAGGACTATTACTACTGGTACAGGGTATGTTCAGTCTAATAAAAATTATCATCAATGCAACCATGAGGATAAGGGGAGCCCTCTGTTCTCAACTTTAAAACATACATGGCTGACTGAAATGGTACAAATTTGACATTGATATTAGCAATCTTATCAAGTAAAAGCCACAAAAAACTAGGCCACCAATGTCCTTAGAGACAAGATGGAGAAGTGACTTTATAGTTTTAAAAATCCCAAACTATAGTTCATTTTGAAACTCCAACTTTGACTGGAAGAAAAAGTAAATAGAAGCTGAGAATAGGGACTTTCCAACACTGCAACAAAGTCTACAGTCCTATTATTATACTTGGCAACTGTGACATCAGGTTTCTGTGTTTCTTTTTGTTTTGTTTTGTTTTGTTTTGTTTTCTTAAAGAAAGCTATAAAGGGAGAAGGGAAACATGGGGATAAATAATGTTTTAATCTTAAAAAATGACCCGATTATTTTCAATTTGTACACTTGAAAAACTGTCATAGTCTTTGACAACCATCTATATCAACATCCTCTCTCTTTTGAAAATTAAACTCTATCAGATCTTTAGTATTCTTTGTAGCTGAAAAGAATAAAACTTCCATTCACTTTCTCTAGATGTCAAAAATAGGACTAAAAATGGAAGACTTTATTTGGATATCTAAAAATAGGACTAAGCACACCAAAGAAAGAATTGGGGGCCACATTCAATCATTAGGAACTGCCTATATATTGCCACAGGAAAACCCCCCCACTCTAATGAGAAATGTAATTATTTTATCCCTTAAAACTTTTAGGGTGCACTGGGCTGTAGCCTATTCTTTGAATTTAGCATCATTCTTCTTCTACGTTGCAAACATTTCTCTTCAGTTTTTACCATACTTGGTCAGGTGAAGCAAACAAAAAGAATTATGTATTCATTACTACTAAACATTTCACTTATGATTAATTTTAACCTATAAAGCTAATTATAGTAATGGCACTGCTCTTCAAGTCAAAGCACCAGTCAACTCCAACTATCTGAAACATAGCCATGGATCCAACTGCAAATTTCCAAAATAACTATATTGAGCTGTCACAAACTAACTTCATGGGCATTATTTCCCAGGAGGAATTGCCTCAACCATACTGACTTAAGAGTTGTCTATAAATGAAGGAAAACTGGCTTTCCCAAGTGTTCTCCAAGTCTTTACTGAATAAGGAAACAGCTAGGTTAAAACTAACAAAGTAGAAAGAAGTGAAAAAATTGCTAAAAGCTGACCAATGAAAAGATAAAATATCAATATAGCAAAATCGCTATCAATACAGAGCAGTCTGAAGCCATATAATGTAAGGACAAACATGTTAATATTTTCAGATTATATAAAGCAAAATAAAACAATTATATTCTCAACGATTCCCACTTATGATGGTAAAGTTAAATTATATTCAGATACACTATTTTGTGAAGAATAAAGAAAGATTCATGTTAAATCTTTCAATGCTTAAAAGGATAAGCTTCAGGAATAAAAACTATTTGTGTAAAAAAAAATCGTGTAAATAAGGAGTTACGATTAACTTATTCTGCACAAATCATTTTTATTTGATAAATCAAAGGAAGTTCTGAATGAAAAAGTTTCAAATAATGTTTAAAATATTGTTAGGACAAAAGGTCATTAGTTTTGCTTCCCAGTTTCTCACAAATATTTGACCATCCCTCCCTTATACCAATGTATTCAATATGTATACTTATTATGTATTAACGAGGGTGCTTGCTATATTCCTTCCCATCTCAGAATGTCTTTTCAACAATTCCCATACTCTTTCCCCTAAGCTCAAAGTAAGAAGCTTCTTATTTTCTTTCCAAAGCTGTTTTCCACCTTGGTATTCTATTTAATGTTTTTCTTCTACAGGCACTTGGTCCTTCATTTACAGAAAAAACAGTCCTAGCTCCCATCTCCCAAAACATGAAATACTTCCTCACTCTTGCTAAGCTGACTTGATCCTGTCTTTTCTTTTCACCACTCAAGTTTTCTTTCTCTCACTCTGTCAAATTTCTCAAACCCATGCATATCATGTTCTCTAACTCTACTGATGCCAGTTTCAAAATCCAGTGCCTTTTCTACTCCCTCATTTTCTTTGATTTCTAAGCAACACATTAAAACTCTTTCTTTGGTGTTCACAATGCTGCACTATCCCAAACTCCTTTAATGGAACCCTTTCCTTCTATTGCCTTTATTAGCATAGATGTCCCCTGAGAAAGAATCAGCACGAGCCCTTTGCTCTCCTCGGTAATTTCATCCACTTTCATGATGCAGGTGATCATCCCATGTCCATGACTGCTCTATCTCTCCAGCCTGACCTCTCCCTAGAGATTTAATCTTCATGTGTAACTGTGTATTAGAGACTGCCTGATACCCCCCAAATAAATAGGACTAAAACCAGAATTCACATTTCTCTGCCCCACGCTTGACTTAACTTCTTTCATCCTTCTCCCAGCCACCTATGTTTAACATTTCCAAATCATCCTAGACTTTTTTAATTCTCCCCTCCAAATTTAAATACTAAGTTCTATCAACTCTTCCTTCATAACATCTTTCACATCTGCCATTTTTCCTCCTATTCTTGTAGCTACTATTCTAGTTCAGGCTTTAACCTCTTCCTATCTGGATTACTGTAAAAACTGTTCACCCAAGCTATGGCCTTCCCCACTTTCCATTTTTTAATCTGTACTGAACACAGCCACTAGAATGGTTTTCCTAAAATATTACTGGACACATCACATTCTTCCTCTAAAATCATTTAATGACCCCACTATCTATACACCCAAATTCCTTAGCCTGGCATTCAGGCCCTTTTCATTAGTTTTGTTTTAGTTATTTTTCCAGATATTTCCCACTACCATCCAGCCCAAATAATTTCCTCAGAAGGCTAAATTGTCCATTGTCTCAAAAATATACATTGCATGTGCTTTTATTTACATCCTTTTCCACATCTCCTATTCCAGAGCTATCTGTACATTTTTGAGAGTAGTTTCAGTAGTAGGTAAAAGCATGGACCCTGGAGCCAGAACCTGGGTTCAAATTCCAAGTCTGCCATTTGTGTTGTACCTTTGGGCATGTTACTTAACCTTTTTGTATACTGGTTCTCTCCACTATAATATGGAAATAATAATAGTACCTATCTCATAGGGCTGTGGTGAGGACTAAAGAAGTGAATATATTTAAGATTCCTAGTATACAATAGCACTACATAAATATTGGTAATTATTAATGTTTGAAAGCTGAGCTCAAGTGACACACTTCCATGAAACCTTGATAGCAGATACACAGTGACTTTCTCTTTTCTATGTTTCCAAAACATCTGTTGTAAACCACAAAAGTTTAACCATAAAACATGGTTTTTCAATAGTAACGTTATTGACATTTGGGGCCCGATAATTCTTTGTTGTGGGGCTGTCTTGTGCACTGCAGGATGTTTAGCAGTATCCCTACCCTCCACCTACCACATGCCAGTGGTGGTCCATCCACCAGTTGTGAAACCAAAAATGTCTCCAGATATTATCAAATGTCCCCTGGAGAGCAAAATTGTCCTATGAGAGCCACTAGCATAACGCAAGATAAAATACATAATAGCACTTTTTAACCTCAAAGTAATACACAAGGGTCAAGTATTATAATACACTCAGTACTTATCAAATACACTTCTGCATTATTTAACTGATTAGAAATTCTTATGTACAGTTGAAAAATACAGGGGTTAGGTAGGGGTGTCCACCCCCCACATACTCAAAAATCTGCATATAACTTTTGACTCCCCCAAAATTCAATTACTAATAGCATGTTGACCAAAGCCTCACCAATAACAGTCAATTAACATATATTTTGCATGTTATGTGTATTATATACTGTATTCTAACAATAAAGTAAGCTAGAAAAAAGAACGTTATTAAGAAAATCATAAGGTAAAGAAAATACATTTACAGTACTACACTGTAAAAAATCCACATATAAATGGACCCATGCAGTTCAAATTTGTATTGTTCAAGGGTCAACTATACTTTCATTGTCCAATTAGTTTTAATATCCTTTAGTACAGACCTCATGTTTTACTTATTCATTTCCACAATCACACCCAACCAAAGGCTTTGGACATCTGTTGATTGATAGGTAAGACGGAGATAACCTGAGACAGAACACAGTGAACTGGAAAGAGCATGGGATTTGCAGTCAGAAGATCAGGTTCAAATCTTGGCTTTCCTCTCACTCACTTTAGAACTTTGGGCAATTCATTAAAGTCTATGAGCCTCAGTTTTCCGGTCTATAAAATATAACAGCTATATAGGCTGGCCATGATGTTCAAATGTGATCAGGAACCATGTATACTGCAGAATTATTATATACACAGGATCATGTATGTAAAAAGATAAAAATGATTATCATACTATAATACTTCTTTTATCCAGAATCATCAGGGTCCTTCTTTATAACTATTTTCTAGGTCACTGAAGCTTATGCCTTTAAGTGTTTCACTTTGAAATTTAAACTATTTTGATGGAAGCTTTCTGCTTTCAGAAGTACTATACATATTCTTCTTTCTTCCAAAACAATAGGTACTGAATATAATTTAACTTTTCCTCACTTATTCTAGGCCATTGTTATAAACATTGATTACCATCCCAACATACAACTTCTTCAGAGATTATCAGATATGTAATGCTTTTGACCTCTTTATTAAAGAGAGTCAGAGGTACTGTGCCCCATTTTGTTTTTCTGCAGCCCTCATGTCCCTTCTGTTGCCCCTCTAATTCTCTATGGATTAGAAGAGTAAGTATTCTAAGTTTGTTAAAGTTGAAGGAGAGCTCCAGTACTCTATTGACTAAAGTTCATAAATGGAAAAATTCACGGCACCTACTGCTCAGGGATGTTTTTTTGTTACTTTCTGGTTCTCAGTGGTGTTCTAGATAACTGGAATTGCTGGGAAGGCAATTTCTTTTTCTACTCCAAATATGCATGTACACAGAAAGTGCCATATATTGTAATGCATATGTATATATACACACAGTAAAAATACACATAAAACTTACTTATATTTTTTAAATTTTCTGTGAGTGCTTCCTGATGCCACTAAAATAAAAAGCCTCATTAATTTGAAGCTCCAACAGAGCAAAACAATCATGCTATTTGAAAGAAAAAAAGAAGTGCAAGAATTCATGTGCTCCCATCATAAGCAAACCCAAAAGAAAAGGAAAATAATATTATTAAATTTCCTTCACAATCTCTTGACTGAATTCTTTCAAGACTTATATGCATGCCTGCTTTTCTACCTGAATTGATATGAAGACAAACAGAAAGGTCTGTATTTTCCAGTTAAATTTTTTTTTTCACTTTTAGTTATAAGCAAACACTAAACTTCAGACAAAAGGGAAAAATTAATAAAATTTAAAAGGACAAAATAAAAGTCAAGTTAAAAATTGCATTGTGAGTCAGGAGCATTTTGTTCTTTTGTTTGTAAATTACACGGGCCACAGAAAAATCTGTTTCCCTGACACTTCCAGAACATTTGTACTATTTTTAGATATATAATATAAATAGTAATAACATAAGTAATAAAAACAAAGCCATCTTTAATAAGTCATGATAATTTACCTGTCAGATGTTATAAAACACTTATAAGGAAGGAAAAAGTCAAAATTGGGAGGAAAAAGATAAATCAAGTCAAAATATACTTTTTATAAAAAGGCTTTTTCATGGTTTGTTTTTAAAACTTTTAGTGGCTCAAGACCAAATAAAGGGTGAAAGAAAGAAAGAAAAAAAAAAAAGAAGGAAGAAAGGGAGGAGGGAGTGGAAGAAAACTAGAAAGAAAGAAGAAAATATGGCATATCTAACAGTACTTAGAAGCTACTGGATAGAATTATCTAGCCTTGTACCTGACAACCGTAGTCCAAAAGAAGCTGTAGTATATCCAAGTTTTCGTTTTCAATAGTTATGGTAACAGCATTTCTCCCAAGCACATCTACGCAATTTATGTTCAAGTCACCTGAACTGTTTTCCTCCAAAATCTTTTTAACCATATAATAGTCACCTAAATAACAATATACAAACATAATTTAATATCCAAGACATATTAGATAAGAATGACTGTAAAAACTTAGCCTGGTGATTTAAAAGAAAATTTAAAAATCTAAACTCATTTTGCATATGGAAATGTGCAAAGAAAATGGGAACACTTCCTTGCTGAAAAACTTATATCCTGATAAAATAGTATGCACACCAACTGCAAACGTAAGGAGTAAAATTTTAAGTGTGCAGTTTGAAACAAAAGTTGTTAAGTTTAAAATTCATAATTGACTGACTATAAGTAAGGAAAGAAACTTTTAGAAGATATTTAAATAATACAGAATGTCCAAAAGTACAGACTGGAAGCTAGAAAAATAAAAGAAGCTTAACGGATTTAGTTTTACATCTCATATACACATTTACTAGCACATAACAATGGTTAAAAATAAGATCTAATAACAAGCATAGAATATTAAGAAGTGGTTTTACAGGGGAAGACCTAGTTTGGAAAAGCAATGTGAATGTATACATGCTAGTAGGTATGCATAGTAAGAGGAAAGGATGCCAGAGATTCCTATCCTCTTCTCCCCATTCTCCCCACACACACACTCACTCACTCACTCACCTCATCATCTGCTTATGTGACCAGGGAATGTTCACTTCATAAATTAATAAATAATTAATGCTGGTAAGGGCTGAAGTCAGAATATTTCAAAGTGAAGTCTGACGTGTTGGGAGCATGCAGATTACCTTCCGCCTAACTCCAGCCCACATCAAAACAGTTGACCCAACAGGGTAAATGAGATTATTTATGGAGGTAATCATTTTCACCGAGGGCCCATTATATTTATCTGTTGACTAGCTAGTGCAGTAATATAATAATAAGGTGGAATAAATAAAAAAAGAAGGGCTAATTAAATAAAGCAAGGTGGGTTTTGTTTATTTAACTTTTGAAACATAGGAGGAATAAACCATTTTAAGTGACTTGCAAATATAGTTGTTCCGCAAAAGTGTATGAAAAATAAACAGGAAAAGAACAATCAGAATGGAAACCACAAGGAAAAAGAAATGAGTAATTTCATGATACAGAAAGAAAAAATCCTAAAAGTGAACTAAATGAGTGGACAAGAAGGAAAACTAACAGATTTTTGTTAAAACTTTTCAAAGATTTGCTACTATTTTTAGTCAATGACTTTAAAGTTCCCACACATTTTGGAAGAAGTTGAATGGTAGTTATTTGATGGCATACTTCATTAGATTCCTCAATAAGAAAACTAGTCACGAAAAGAAATATTTTCCTCATAGCACTGCTAATTAATATTTAGATACTAATGTTCCATGGCAAAAACTTATAAAAAAACTTCAAAAAGTGAAGCTCTTAGTCACAAGATGAATAGTGAATATACAGACAGACCAGTGAAAATTTCACATTGTTACTGGAAAGTAACATCTTAAACCTTATTTAAGGTGAATTTATTTCAATATCTTAGTGGTAGGAAAATGCTACCCATAAAAACTCTATTTTCTTTAGTTTCATGAGGTGTCTAGGGGAGGATTAATTTTTTATTTATCCTGTTAGGGACTCATTAAGCTTGCTGAATCTAAGGACTTCTGCCCTTCATTAATTCTGCAATATTTTCAGCCATTACCTCTTCAAATATTACTTTGTCTCCATATTACTCTGTTTTCTATTGGAACTTCCATTAAGCATTATTTTGGAGGGGCATCTGGGTGGCTCAGTTGGTTAAGCGTCAACTTCGGCTCAGGTCATGATCATGGTTCATGGGACAATGCAGAGACTGCTTCGGATCCTTGGTCTCCCTCTCTCTGACCCTCCCCCATCATGTGCGTGCTTCCTCTCTCTCTCTCTCAAATAAACATAAAAAAAAAAACAAACCACACACATTATGTTGGATCATCTCATTCCAATTTGTGTCTCTAAACATTTCTTATTTTTCCTCTTTCTTGCTCTCTCTCTTGCATTCTTGATACTGTGTCCAAATCTCACTTATTCCTTATTCAATCACTTTAACTCATTTGTTTTTTTAATGACTTTTTTTTTCTCTAAGTTTTACTGGATTACTTTCCAAATCTTTTGTTTTACTTCCTTATGTTTTCATTTCCTTAAGATTTTAGTCATTTTAAACATACTTATTTTATGGTTTTTATATGATACTTATCAGGTCTTAAGGATTTAATCCTATTTGTTGTGCCTAGTGATTATCAATAATGGGTGACTGTCCTCTGAATTTTTAAATTGAGCATTGCAAACTCATCTTTATGCAGCTTAACTGTGGGAATCCTGGCAGCCTAGTTTGAAAGCTTGTCACATCAAGGATGTTTTAAGTTTGTTTCTTCCACATAACTCAGAGGTTTTGCTCCCCTATCAATCCTTTTCATTATTTATTTCTCAGTTTAGGTTTTCATGGACCAAGTAGGTAATATTAAACTCCAAGCCAACAAGAGACAGGACTATATCTGCAGATTCTTACTTACAAGCTTCTCTGTAGTCTCCCAGTGCTGGTGGATGGATTCTTTTCTTCATCTACAGCTTTGCTACAGGTATAGTGTTTTAAGGACACTCCTCTGTTTTTCAGTCTTTTTCTCACTTTTGGATCCTGAGTGTTTCCCTTAATTTCCTGAAAGCTCAACTATTCATTTAAATGGTTCTTTGTTGTATTTTAGCTAGCATTCCTAGGTGATTTGAAGCAGAGGGTTTTCAGATTATCTAGTCAGCCTTTTGATAGAGCCAGAAAAGTATAAAGAATTGTATAAATACAATTCTTACAAAATTTTATAAACTGTAGGTACAGCAAATGGACAGAAACAACTGCTACGTTTTAAAACTTTAGATTGCTGTTTAAGAGTAATTTATTGCAAATGTCAGATACTCTAGCTTTAAGGTTTCAAAGACTACTTCCATTATACTCAGGGGGCTATACAAGAAAAAAGAAACTTAAAAATCAAAACCAAATCAGTAAATTTCATCCCTAAAGATAATAAAAAGTACCACCTTGAGATAGCTGACACACATATGCAAATGAAATATTACATACTATAGTCACAGAACCTATAGGAAACTATAGTTTAGGTTTCTAAGTATTCCACCTAAGTTTACCTTTGCAAGCCATTTAAAACAATGTGCTATACTGTTAAACCCAGAACAACCCTAAAATTTAGGATGAGCGTATATGCAGAAAAGAGATTAGTAAATTTAAAATATATAGGAAGAAGCTAGTTATAGAGCAAGGATTACAATTTAAATGCCTTTTTATATCAGACAAATATATACTTTTCATTTTATATTAAAGTTGCTTTTAATAATTACATGCATCTTTTATCTTTTAAAATATATAGAAGAGGGGCGCCTGGGTGGCGCAGTCGGTTAAGCGTCCGACTTCAGCCAGGTCACGATCTCGCGGTCCGTGAGTTCGAGCCCCGCGTCAGGCTCTGGGCTGATGGCTCAGAGCCTGGAGCCTGTTTCCGATTCTGTGTCTCCCTCTCTCTCTGACCCTCCCCCGTTCATGCTCTGTCTCTCTCTGTCCCAAAAATAAATAAACGTTGAAAAAAAAAATTAAAAAAAAAATATATAGAAGAAAATGCAACATAATCTGTTTACTTTTTGGCTAGATGGTTCCTTTTTCAGTAAAGGAAAAATAACTTTTCAATCAATTCCACCCATATGCCAATTCAATAGCAAGCCTTCTTAGCCCCCTCTCCAAAATAGTTCCCATACTCATCCCCTTGTATTCATGTATACTGCTACCCTAGTCCAAACCACTATCATCTCTTTCCTGAACTCTGCAATAGATTCTTTACTGATAATAGCTGCTTACACTTCTAATACAAGGGTCAACATACTTTTTCCATAGAGGGCCACAGAGTAAATATTTTAGGCTTTATGGGCAAATACCCAAGTCTGCCTTACTGCAGAAAAGTGATTACAAACTATATGTACACAGGTGAACTCCAATGTGTTCCAACAAAACTTTATTTGTGAACACTTAAGTTCAAATTTTATATAATTTTCATATTATAAAATATTATTCTTCTTTTGATTCATTCCCAATAACTTGAAATGCAAAGTGTGAAAACTATTCTTAGCTTGCAGGCCTCACAAAAACAGGTGGTGAGGATTTGGCCTGTGGGCCATTTTGTCCACCTTGCTCTAGCCCCACTCCTTTAATCCACTGTCCACCCAGCAGCCAGAGTTGATCTTTTTAAAATTCCTATCATTCAATTCAAAAATCTTGAGGATTGGGGCACCTGGGTGGCTCAGTCCGTTGAGCTTTCGACTTAGGCTCAGGTCATGATCTCGCAGTCTGTGAGCACAAGCCCCGCTTTGGGCTCTGTGCTGACAGCTCACAGCCTGGAGCCTGCTTCAGATTCTGTGTCTCCCTCTCTCTCTGCCCCTCCCCCACTCATGCTCTGTCTCTCTGTCAAAAATAAATAAAACATTAAAAAAATTTTTTAGGGGTGCCTGGGTGGCTCAGCTGGCTGAGTATCCGACTTCAGCCCAGGTCATGATCTCACAGTTCGTGAGTTCGAGCCCCCGTCGGGCTCTGCGCTGACAGCTTGGAGCCTGCTTCAGGTTCTGTGTCTCCCTCTCTCTCTGCTCCTCCCCTATTCACATGCTGTCTCTCTCAAAAATACATAAATAAATAAATAAATAAATAAATAAATAAATAAAATCTTGGGGATTGTTATAATTTTCCATCACACCTCAAATAAGTGCCAAAATCTTTATTGTGGCTTATTAATCCCTATGGGACCTGAGCTTCACAACCATTCTCCATTAACCTTATGCAACTCTCCTGTTTACTCAGTATGATCTTTCTAGACTAATGTTTTCCAAAATGCAGGCTGCAACCCCACCAGCAGTCATAAAAACAATGTAGTGAGTCCTAGATAGCAATTTAAAAAAATTAAATACTATTAGGGCGCCTGGGTGTCCCAGTCGGTTAAGCATCCAACTTCGGCTCAGGTCACTATCTCCCAATTCGCCAGCTTGAGCCCCACATCGGG